AGATAAATATTCAGGTAGTCCACCACGGTGAACGGATTTTTAAATGTAACACTGAAGTGCAGGAAGAACTGGATGTGACGGAGCCACTGTTTTGCCTGGTTGCTGTCATTGGCTCACTTGTCACCGCCACCACCGCATTTTTCACATGTACTGTTTAGTATTTCCTTGCAAAGAAGCCTTAAAACTACTTTTTTTTTGCTTTAGATCCATACAAACTGCATATATTTTAAACCAATCCTTTGTGCATGCTTGACAGGCCACATTTTAAATATAACATATTTAATTTCCTGAATATTGAAAACTGATCCCTCTTTCTCTTTTTATTAGAGTATATGGTATCATATCTCTAGTAGCCACTTTTCCTTAGCATTGCGATCTCAAACAGTATTAATCTACTTTCTTCTTCCTTGTGGCTTTTACTGGCACCATTCTGTCTGTGCATAATACTCCTTTTTCCCAAGGAAACATAGATACCTATTCTTCTTTGGAAAAAAATTCTAAAAAGCACTTCATTTAGCATTCATTTCCTATAGGTTAATGGAAAGCAATAAGTATGAACAATAAAACAAAAATCCCTTTGGACCCTATTCTATTCTTCCCCGATACTGCAATTTTTGCCAAAAATGTTTGTATTTCTGGTCCACTTCACTCTTCAGATAATGCCCAAGACATCAGCTCAGAGAGACTTCTCTAAGTGTGTAGGTATGCACTGAATCCCAATACTGCTTTCAAAGACGGTGCAAATGCATGATTGTTAGTTGGATGTATTGCTTTTGGTTATTAGCGAGGGTCCAGGATGGCAGAAGCCACGTGTTTTCTTCACCATTGCGGAGGAAGACAAAGGTGAGTTTTCCGCTGAGGTGTCATCCCCTAAGAGATGGAGGAGAGTCAGGTGTCGGTCCCACCAGCTGCCACCTGAAGGAAGAGAGGAGAGTGAAGTGGGAGTGTGCATAGAGAGCACATGTCTCCTGTGAGGCCACCAGGTCACACCAGGAGTACTGTGGGGGCATGGTTTGGACTGGGATTAGGCTCAACAGGTGGCCGAGGCATGGAACATGGAACAAGCTGAGTGACAGAGGGGGCTGGAGGGGTAGACACGCCTCAGCATCCCTTTAAGCTGTAATGAGGAGACTAGACCCACTCAAAGCACTACACCAGCGAGCTCACCATAAAGAAAAAGGGAACCCCTACCCTTCGCAACAGCCGGGTGGCCCTAGAGAGTATGTCCCAAGTATAGTAAGTCAGTCAGAGAAAGACAAAACCCTATGATTCCACTTCCATGTGGAACCTAAAGAAGAAAATAAACCAACAGACGAAACCGAAACACGCATAGGTACAGAGAACAGACCGACAGTTGACAGAGGGGCGAGGAGTTGAAGTGGGGTGAAAAGGGTGAAGCGATTAAGAAATACACACTGGTCGTTACAGAACAGTCACAGAGACATTACAACAACGGAAACAGAGTCAACAGTAGCCTAATAACTATATTCGGGGACAGGTGGGTGCTTGAAATGTTTCAGGGACCTCTGTAAAGTACACGACTGTCTAACCACTACGCTGTATACCCGAAACCAATACAGAATAATATTGAATGCCAACTGTAATTGAAAAAAAGGCACAATGTCAGGATAGGTTGACTATTTGCATTGTGATTTATTGGGAGATATATGAACATAAAAATATCCAGAAGGGAACTCTGCCAAAGATACTTCTGAAAGAATCTAAAAGATGATCTCATTAGAGTGAAAATATTTTGAAGCTGTAGATTTTTTGATACGGGGAGGCAGTGGCTCTGGATTCATGTTTCCTTAGTCCCCAAACTTGTAATTGTATGACTTGGGCTGGTTACATTAGGACCCTAAGACCTAGCTTCTCATTTCATACATCGTACTGCATATTTCACTGAATAATATCAACATGATATAAAATCGAGATGGTGCCTTTATAAATGACATTCAGAACTTTTTTTTTGCAAATTTTATCTACTGTTATCATTTTAAAGCACACCATTTTTCTTTCAAGGAGAGAAAGCAATGGAAAGATTAATTAATGCAATATTCCAAGGTGACATTTTAGTGACTTGTATAGATAAAACTGTCACCTTGCCTAAGAGACAGACTGGGCCAGCCAATCAGCAGGCATTTCCCCATCATGGTCACAGAGCTGAGAGATGTATAATATGCCTATCTCCTCTTCCAAGTGAGGGTTCGAGTTGAAGGCAGGTCATGACATTTGTCCAAAGTCATCTGTTTAGGAAGTGACAGAATCAGAACTCAAATAGCTAGAATCTAGAGCCCAATTTCTTCATTAAGCTCCTCTTTAGTGAAAAATAATGTGTTTCGTGATATTATCTACGTATTGTATGCTCATCAAGTTTTATTTATTTGGCTATGCATTTAAATATCCTTGGCCGTAATTATGGTAGCCTGCCAGTATGAACATTTTTAATAGTTTCCTTGAGCAGTAATTGATAAAAAAAATACTGCCCATACTTAACGGACACGATTGGATGAGTTTGTACCTGGGCCCGCACCTGTGAAATCAGCACCCTGATCTTGGTGATAAACATCCCAACCACCTCCTGGTGTTTCCTAACATCCTGCTCTCACTTTGTGGTGAGAACAATGCAGAAAGCAGAGCAAGAGACCCAAAGTCGATAGCGTTGAAATATTTTTTCAATCACCAAAGGCTTTGTACTATAATCGCTGACAAATACTTTGCCAGTCATGTGAAATAAACCATAAAGCATATGCCCAAAGGTATAGAGAAAGCAAATGATTTAATAAACACGTGGGGATTAAATATCCCCACTTATGCTTGATAAGAAACACTTCAGATCAGGAAATGCTATTCGAGTCCAAGGTCTGGATGATTAAACGCAAATCAGTTTTGTTCACTCACATATGAAAAAATCTATCGTTAATTTGTAGGCAAGGTCTTAATGTACCAGAATCTAATTATAGAGTCTTCAAAACACTAGTGAAACAAAAGTTAATGAGAGATTCTTAAAGATATTACAATTTTAAGGTACTGATTTATTTATAAAAATGTTGAGGGTAAATTTAAATTTAATATGCTAAAGTAAGTTTTCCATCTTCATTTTGGAATTTCAACTAAAAGAGGTAATTCATTACATAATGAATATAATGAATATATATTACACATAATATTCAGTGTGATTTTAATTAAAAGTTCCTTTTGTTCTCTTCTATTTTAATATTGACCTTGGTTTACTAATTGTCCAAGGAAGTTGATCAATTGCATGCTTGTGCCCTCTGAATCACAGTAAGTGAAGGGGACAATTGCTCCCAATCAGCATTAATTAAAATATGCTTGGATACATACCAATCCTAACAAGATAACTGCAGCTTTGAATCCATGCTATTGTAATATGTATTAGACACACCTCGTATGTAATCCATATGTAACACATCCATATATGTGTAATATGTATCAGAGTAAGGAAGGAATTGGTTTCGTGCCTCTACAGAACACTTGTTAAAATGTGTTTTCCCCCCTACAACTGAAAGTGATATTATATAGTCATTTTTTTAGTGAATAGAGACTTATTTTATAAGTTGTGGAAACAACGAAATTCATTAAGTTGATTAAATGGGTGGTTCAGAGTCAGTTTATGATCTAAACTATGTACAAACAAATGAAAAAATGAAACTGATTTCATGTACATACATTATTATTTACACCAGAAAATCTTCTTTGATAGTAAAACTGGGTAAGCCTATACAAGCACAGAGATTTATTAATTTGTAGATTAACCTACACATGTTAAGCATTTAAAAATTCCAAGCGCTCTATCCTCAACGTAGCAATATTGCCACACTGAATAAGCAATGGATGTCCACGTTGATACGACTGCTTGCATTTCAAATTAATTTGTCTTTTGCTACTTTATATAGAAAGCTGTTTTCTGTTTCTCAGTAAACCTTTGAGGGGGCTCACACTCTGTCTAGTGTTCCCTCTGCTGTGAAGACTTGTCGGTTCTGGAAGATTCGCTGAGCTCTGAGGTTACCTGCCCACACCCTGGAAGGCTAACACTGACCCGACACATCACACGGAGTAAAAAGATTGACGAAACAAATAAATATGTGTATCTTTATTATATATGCTTATCTCATTCTCTGGACAGTAAAACCTTTAAGGACAAAGACAACGTGTTATTCAAAATATTTTATTTTTAGAACTTAACATACCATGCTAAGCACAGCAGGAGTTAATTCATGCATTAGAGATCCTTGTGACTTCGAGTGACAGAGAACTCGGTGATGAGAGCTGACATGTATTACAGGTCAACCTTCCCACTGAGCGAGGAAACCAACCAGAGGGGCCACTCTAGGTGTCATGCAGAGCTCAGCCCGTAAACTCTCCGTCTTTCCTTCCGTTCCAACCTTTTAAAAGTCGCAGTGCGGCCGTTGCGCTCCCCTCTTCCAAAGTCAGGTCTTCGCTCACACAGGAGGAAAGCAGAGGGAGCAGTTTCTGGGTCTGGTTCCTGGAGACCAGTGATTGGTCGATGAAATGACATCATCCTGGGACATTTAGACCAATCATGTTTCAGCCTCTGGGCCCAAGATCCAGGCTTATCCTCCCGGAGATCAATAAATGGTGCATTTCACCTGAACCAATTGTACTTTGTTTCTTAGCAGGAGACCAAGGGACTATCTACAAATAAATGGACAATACGTGTTACAATAAATGTTACATGAAGAGAATTAGATTTATTTAAATGAATTATTCATGACATGTGCGGTCCACAATTGCATCTTCATATTTTTATTTGCATTTGTTTGGCAAGATTCAGTATGAGCAATTTCTGTTTCTTTGAGGATACATACCAATGCATTCATTCCTCTACATTTTTAGTTATGCTGGAAAAGAAAATACTCAATATTGAAAAGATGCAGTGTTTTCTTCCGATATTGTGAAATGTCTTGCTTTTGTAACTGCAAGGGAAGTTCAAAGTTAATTTTTTTGTCTTTTTTCAGGCCTGAGAAAATGAATATGAATTTAGATTCCATTCATCGGTTAATCGAGGAAACCCAAATCTTCCGGATGCAGCCGTCCTCGCTGAAAACACCTCGGGACTTGGTAGCACCCGCCTCGGCGCCCCGGGGCCCCTGCGATTCCTGCCGGCCGCTTATCGGGCTCCAGTCTCAGGCCGCTCCCCGCGTCTGGGCTCCCTCGCGCCACACGGACGAGTGGGACGTCTGCGAGGAGCTGCGCCTGCGCGAACTGGAAGAGGCCAAGGCCAGGGCAGCTCAGATGGAGAAGACCATGCGGTGGTGGTCGGACTGCACCGCCAACTGGAGGGAGAAGTGGAGTAAAGTGCGCGCGGAGAGGAACAGTGCCCGGGAGGAGGGGCGGCAGCTCCGGGTGAGGCTGGAGATGGCGGTGAAGGAGCTGAGCGCCCTGAAGAAGAAACAAAGCTCCCCGGAGGCGTCCGAGCCCCGCGTCTCCCAGGACCAGAAGCGCCCTAGTTTCGTGGCAGGGTCCTGCGCGCAAAGGGACCAGTTTCGAGTTGGCCGGCCAGCGTCCACTAGAGAGTGTTTGGTGACAGGAGAATTTTCTAGAAAGGACAACACCGGTAGTATGGTAAGGGAAGAACCCAGAGGAATCCAGGACGATGGGCCTTATGTAGAGGGACTGGGTGTGCGGGCCATAAATGAGTCCGGCAGACTGGGTGGCTGCAGCCACAGAAAGTTCTAGAGGCCACAAGTCTGAGATCGAGATGTCAGCAGGGTTGGTGTTTTGTGAGGCCTCTCTCTCTGGCCTACAGCTGGCTGTCCCCCCCCCCCCCCGCGTCTTTACAGAGTCTTTTCTCCGTACGGGCCTGTGTCCAGGATTTTGTTTCCTGTAAGAGGACCATCCTTAGGCCCACCCCGATCTTGAACTTAATCACCTTGAAAAGGACCTTGTCCCTAAGTACATTCCCATTTGGAGGTAGGAGGGGCTAGGACTTCAGCATATACATTTTGAGGGGACACAATTCAGCCCATATTAGTGATCTTACAAATTTTTCTTTAGCAAAAATGTATCCAGCATTTTTTAATGTGAAAAAAGGTACCTGGAGAGACTTCTCTCCACCTATCGTTGCCACACGTCAATAGTATAAATCATCCATAAGGTACTTTGGGCTTCCCCCAACGTTTGGAACTCTGGCCTCACAATCAGTTTCTGTTAAATGGGTCCCACAGACAAATACCTATAGGGAATTCTCATTACTCACTCTTGGAATTTCTTGGTATACTTATACTCTTAAGGTCCTAAAAATTCTGCATGAAATGAACATTTTGAAAACCTGTATTTAATCTAGCAGTTCATTTATGAACCACTCTTCCCCTTGGTAATTACTGGTAGCAACCCATGGGCCATACCTTAGGAAACGAAGAATTCGTGTTATCTCTTTCATAAGTTATCTGTTTATATTATTATCCCTTCTCTAAATTCATCTCTAAAAACATAAAACTGCTCTTCTGTAATTCCATCTAAAATTTAAGCCTTTCCATGATGCAATAAATTATGAAAGATAGAACCTACATTTCATTATAAATAAAAAAAAATTTGAAAAGATTGCAACATTTAATTAGTTAAGCTTATTACTTCCTCCAGGTTTGTTTTTACTTTTTAAAAAAAAATGGCAGCCTAAGCTGTTAGTCTTAGCTGCGCTGTTGTGTACATCTTTGGGGAAATGTTATGTATTCTCAAAATTTCACTGTATTAGTGCATGTATTTGAATGTCGTGATGGAGATCGGGAAATATAGGCCACATACGTTGCCCTGAATGTACAAATTATTTATTACTACAACTAACAGACACCACATTTGAGAATGTGAAAGATTCTCTTTGCATATATTTTGCTGAGAAATTCTCAATATCTTGGGACTTTATTTGGAATATCTCTGTATCATTAGTGTCAAAAACGTCATACATAGTAGGTATGTATTAAAAGTTTGTTTATTCAGGGAAAAAATAGTTACAATTCCTTGTGATGGTAGTGAAGTAAGTGTTGGCTGTTGAAGAAGTTTCAATTGGTTGTTTTTATTTTGATCAGTTTTTCTGCCAACTCCAAAGATACTCATGTATGATACTCACAGATTTTTTCCCAAGGAAAACAACACATGTCTCATTTTATTGGTTTTCAAAATAATATACATAATATCCATTAATTTTTGAGAGTGTGATGAGATGAGTCAAAGTAGTAACCCAAAATTCATTTACTATTTTAAAAATTAATACTAAAAATGAAGTATCATTAAGATTTTATTTGAAGTAAGGTAAGCTAGTAACCAGAGGGGAAGGGGCTTATAAAGAGAACCTGTTTTTCAGAGGCAGGAGAGTGGCAAATACTTAAATGTATGTATGTAACAGCAAAAACAAAATTAAAAGGTCAAAAAGTTTAGACTATTACTAACTGTAATTATGAACTTTGCATTAGATGAGGAGAAATTATATAAAACATATTAATAACATTTAACATAAAACACATACAAGGGATGACACATATGTATATATATGAAAAATGCATATTATATTAACAATACTTGTTTTTACTGACATTTCAAAATCTTTTACTATGTGCCTTTCTGCTTATATGATTCCAAAATATATAATATATTTTATAGGTCTTTATATGTATGTACATATATATCTATGCACACTACATAAAAATATATAAATGAAACCATTTAAAAGAAACAAAGATTTTTATTTAAACTTGGATACTAATTGAGATTTTATGTGAACTTGGCTGTACCTCATTTTAAACCCACAAATCAGAGCACAGTTAAATTATACCCACACATCCATAGCGTGAGCTGGGGAAGGTTTGGGATTGTGACGTAAGAGTCTGAGGCAGTGTGCTGTTCTGATCAATGACACCCATGCATATTAAAATGTCCCACTAAACTCTATTTGGGATTTAACTAGCAATCTAAAAAAGTGGTTTGATAAACAAACCTATTAAAACATTCTGAGTTCCTTGAAAATACTTTCTATTCTGTCCTGCAAAGATGTTTAAAGATAATCAGCTGGCTTTGCTTTGAAACTCTCAAGCGCCTTGTGACAAAATAAACTTTAAAGAGAAATCCATAAACTCATTAAATAACTATTTACAGCTGCTCAAGTTTTTGTAGGGTTATTTTTAGCTGTGATTAGAAAAAGAAAACCTAAAGTAAAAGTTAAAGCAGACTTTTCGAGAAGTGTATTTGATTATAATAAGGCAGAAAATAGGGGGGGGAAAACACTTGAAGAATGCAAGTTACAGTGTGGTCATTAACACAATTTAAAAATGAAAACAAAAGGAAAATATGAATTTGATCCTGGACTGTATCATTTATTTCTTTCCAAAAATATGGAAATATTGTTCCTGGTTTTGCTACTGAAAAACTTAGACATGCAGCAGTAATAATTGCTGTATGTGTTTTCCTTTCAGGAAGAAGGTTTGGTTCTGGACCCGTTAAGGCCAGTCAAGGACATGCAACTCTGTAGGGGCTGTCCTGACTCACTCAAGAACCCTGGCTCTGAAAATGGGGCCACGGGACCTGGACTAAGTCACCCAGGAGGAGATCTGCCCTTGCAGAGGGAAGTGCCTGAAATGTCAGCTTTGCAGGGGCATTGGGAGGAGTTCCAAAGAATCTTAAGGAAAGAAAGAGAGTGAGTACTGTGAATGATTAGTATGATCATCGTCTCCCTTAACCAAGTCTGATTTTCGAACTTCTTACAATTGTTAAGTCTAACAAACTGGCCATTTAACAATGTCTTTTACGCATGACTAGTTATTATGTTCTAGTACTTTAAAAATGAATTTGACATACTATATTCATTTTTAAAAATTTGAAGAGTAATTTGTAATGTGTTACTTTATATGTTTTATTATAGCCTTGTTCTCATCATCTTTGGTAGATTCACCTTATCTATATTTGAATTATTCATGTATGTGGTTGAAATAGGCAGTGTGTTATCTATACACTGAGTCAAGAAAGTGAGACTGTACTAATAACAACAGACAGATCACAGTTTTGTGAGGTATTGATCACAGAAAAGGATGCCTCGCTTGCTGACCATTTCGGAATAGGGGAAAAGAGTAGTAAAATAGGGATTCAAAGACCGGGGTATTCATCTCAGGTCTGCTATATTCTAGGTATTTCATCCTCGGTGAGCCAATAGTACATGACTTTGTCCTCTGTAAAACTGTGTGGATAGTGCCGCTTACGTTCCAGTTTTCTCCTGTTTGGTAACAGAACGTCCCAAACAGTGGTTACTGAAACAACAGTGACCATGTGTCTGCCCATGAATCTTGAGCATGGTTTTCCTATGTGTGGCATCAGATGGGACTGCTCAAGGGCTGACGTCATCTGGAGCCTCCCTCCCCGCAGTGAGGTGGCTGATCTTAGTTCTCACCTTGGGTTCCAGTGCTAAGGCTTGTAGGGGCCTGTCTTATCCGTATGGCTTCTTGGCTTCCTTGTGGTGTAGGGCTTGGTGAACACCTTAAAGGCAGAGAGAGCTACTTGGTGCTTTCATGACTTTGCCTCAAAAGTCACTCCGCATCACTTTCTGTCATACTTACCGCTGCAGTCTCCAAGGCTGAGGAGTTCAAGGACAAGGGGCACCCTCAAGGGCAGAAGGGTCAAGATCACGTGGGATGGGGCCGTTGTGGCCGCCATCTTGGAGAAATGCAATCTGCCATTGTCTTCTCACAGAATTCTGTGCAGATCCAACACAAGCGGTGTCTGGGAAACTGACGGCTGATCTGAATCTCTCTGTGGGCTGCTTTGTTCCTATCTGAGGGAATATCTAGGGAATATTTGATGCGTGTTAAAATGTGGTCTTCCCATTTGAAAACATTTTGTTTCATCTCTTTAGCTAGAAAACTCTTAATAAGCAGAATAAAAAAATATCTGGGAGTAATAGAGTAATTAATCTCTATGTGTATCTGTATTGTATATATATGAATACGATTATATATTATATAATGGTTTCAGTTTTCATGGTTTAAATGGATTGAAACAGTGAGAAGTATGCCTACAAACCTTTCACAAATACTGCATTTTATGGACCATTCCTTTTGTGTCAACTGGAAGTTTCTTATTAGTCCTTCGATATTCATTCATACCACTAACTTCTTTTTTAGATTCTTTTTTAGGTTTTCACATCACTATATGAATAGAGTCTGATAATTCAAGCATCTTTGAATAGAATAAATGTTTATTAGTCTACCATCAACTATAAATTTACAATAAAGGTGATCAGTCTCAGTAGAAAAGGGAATAAAATTGAAGTACATTTTAGGCCCGTATTAACAATTGTATCTGGAGCTGTCGGTCTCAGTCAAGTTCTCTCCTCTGTGTTTGACTTCGTGAAGGATTCAGCCTGTCGGCGGCTCTAGGCCTCTCTCAAACGCACACGCATGACTTCACCATAATGAAATCGGAGCCACATGAAACTGCATTTCCTAGTCGTAAACTCCCTAAGGTGCAGTTTTAATGACACGCATGTGTATCTTTATTCTCTCACTCACACTCAGGTGCACACACATACATATGTGACTTCCTTGGAATAAATGAGCGAGCTCCATAGAAGTAAATTCTCCAGTTCTCCCCAAGTCCAATATACCAACCCTGGACCGGGCAGAGAAGAGGGGACAGGAGGCCTGGATTCCAGTCCGTCCTCCCACTCTCCCCTTCCAGGGGCCGTCCCGTGGGTGCCGAGTCTGTGAAGCATCATGAACATGTAATTCACAGGAGGTGACTGCCAAGCCTCCTCTTCCCAATACCAGAATGTTTCCCAAGGATATAGCATATCCTGTTGCTATAAATCTGGCTAATCTGTTAAATTCCTCCTCCCGGAATCTCAGCAAGTGGGAGGCTGGAGTTGAGAAGATGTGAACATGGTTTTTCCCGTGTTCCCAGCTGGTGGGAAAATTCTCCCAACGGGAACAGGGGAATCAGCAGAGAGGACAGGGAGTCATTTCTACCGGCTGTCACAACGAGCGACAATGCCTCACTGAACACGCTAAACTTTGTCACATTATTTACTCGCAACGCTGTTTGGTTTTCCGTGTCTTTACCCAGCATTTGAAAATTTGCCAAAGCCTATGGTTTGAGTGTTGAGTTAGGAGAATTGTTGCCATGACCAGTTCAGGAGCTTTTCCTCTGATATTTTCTACCAGGAATTTTATAGCCTCAGGTCCTTTGTCCACGTCTTTAATGCACTTGAGTTGATGTTTGTGTCCTTTTTCCAGTTTTTACTCTCCAGTATCTGTGCTGTGTGTGGGTAGTTGTCCACCTAATGAGACAGAGTCCATTTCTCTGCATGGACCAAAAAAATGCTAGTAAGTTTCTACCTCCATCTCCCCTCCACTTAGAGTGCAGACATTTGACCTGGGAGCAGGTATTTGGAGGTAGCCACCTGGTCTGAGAGGTAAAAGCTAATGCTCTAAGGAAGTGAGCACCCAGAATCCATCCTGGTAGGGGTCTTATTTCCTGAGGAAGCAGTTAGTGGCCTCTGGCCTGCACTGACACCGGCCTGTGTCTCCAGTTGTTGGCACCGAGGTCACGCGGTGCTACCTGTACGTACCCTCATGGGGACCTCAGTGGGGGCCAGTGGGGAGATCTCAGTGGCTTCATGTTATTTCTGGCTTCCTGGGCCCCTAATTCCTTCTCTGACTCTCCCAGAGAGTCTTTGAATTACTAATATCTTTTTTCTGCTTAAATGAGTGAATATGAATATATTTGCTCGTCAGCCACTTAACTGATACCAGGAGAGAGTACCTGCGACAGGCAGGGAAGGCGCCGGGCAGCGAGGTACGAGACCAGTCGTAGCATGAGAGCGAGCTGTGCTCCTGAACATGTTACCTCCCATCCCTGGTCTCCCATCCTCCCAGTGTCTCCCAGTTTAACAATGTTCTTTAAATACCTTTTTTCTAATTACATGGCTGTACCTGGCTTTGGCTACTTGCTGAAAGGTATAAAAAGGAAAGAAGTAGAAAGATGTAACTATAAATAATTGGGAGTACAATCAGAAACTGGCAACTATGGTGATCATTGAAAGTACAAGTATATTTATACAAACTTGTTATTCATTGTTTAATACTTAGTTTAAATTTTGGACCAATAGAAGAGTGGGTATCTAAATGTCAGCATGAGTTAATTATTTTTGTCTTGAAAAGACATATTACCAGGCCTTTATGGAAATACCAATTAGATATTTTACAGTGAATTTTCATACCATTTATAAATGATTACAGTAATATTTATTTCTGGAAATTTTCTGGAATTTTCATTCCTGAGAAATATTTTATTTAATCTTCCTGTCTCAATGTCTGGATTTCATACTCAAGTATTATGGGATCATGATATTTACAAAGGATCAGAAGTTTGCATAGGAATATAGTCATGCTTTCCAGGAAAATTTTGGCTCACCCTTTATCTTTCACATTCTGAAAATATATTTTAGCAATCTGATTTTAAAGATTTATATTATCATATTAAAATACTATATTTATACTAAGTCTTATCTTAATTCAGTTTTTTTAAAGAATTCTGCATAAAACATGCAATATTGTAGGGTAACATTATGTTTTTTTCTTTGCCTTCTTGTGGTTCAAATAGTATGATGATGGTTTAAATTTAACTAAGTAATCAGTTATGAAAATATTTTCAAAATATAGAATAAATTGATTAGGCCAGAAAATTAAGGGTTTAAAGAGTGCCCTCTGCTGCATGGATGTGTGTATAGCATCCTTTGGGCTTGCTCGCGTAGTCACCAAATTTTTTTGATGATGCCACACTAAAGACATTCAGGTATCACATTGTCATTAATTTTATGGATTACCTGTCTTTCCACTTCTCTGTTGAAATTTTACCTTTTAACATAATAAAAATAAAAATTTTTCAAAAAAAATAAAATAAAATAATTAAAAATTTTCTATCAGTCAACAGTTATTAGTTATTTTACTCAAGATATATACACAGGAATAGCCCTGGCTGGTGTAGCTCAGTGGATTGAGTGCGGGCCTGCAAACCACACGTTTGCGGTTCAATTCCCAGTCAGGGCACATACCTGGGTTGCAGGCCAGTTCCCAACAGGGGACTCAAGAGAGGCAACCATACATTGATATTTCTCTCCCTCTCTCCTTCCCTTCCCCTCTAAAGATAAATAAATAAAATCTTAAAAAAAAAGATATATACTCAGGAATAAATATATTACATTTGAGTATTACTAATTTTCCCTAAGTAAGGAATAAGAATAGCTATTCATTTTATATACTTTGACAATACTAAATTATTTTTATTTTATGAGCTAACAGAATATGTATGCTAAGTCTAGATATAATCTAGATACAGTTGCATCTTTGTCTATACTTGTGCGTAACTAAGACTTTATAAAATTTAACAAATATGTAGTTTGAACTGTTTTTTTTTTAACTGATAACATTCTAGAAGGAATAGATACCTCAGTAAATTTGATGCCCTTCTTGAGAACTGGCATTTATTCTACAGTAATACTGAATCATTTCGATGCTGACATGGGCTCTTAGCTAACGTTATAATTTGATTTATTAAAGTAGGATGTTAAAATCTGGCATTGATTCTTTGATGTGTATGATTTTGAACTTGTAAATTTAAAAATCTAGGCTTTCCTCCAATTTTCAAGTCCAAGTTTTTACTATTCTATTTATAAATAAAAATTCTCAAGATTATTTTTAATAAGAAAATTTATTCATGTAGGCTTCAATAGAGAAATGTAATCAATAGATTTTAATAAGAATTGTTAATGTTTTCTATATACATTTCCCTTTAAAAATTTTTTTTAATTCCTGAGAAAAAAACACTTTCATGTTCTACTCCTGTAGTCCAATAAATTAAAATACAGAAGAAAGCAGGCAGAAAGTCAATTAGTTCAATACTGGCAAAGCTAAATGAAATATGTTTAACTGACTGTGGAGCTAATTGACAGAATAACAAGTTAAACTAAGTAGAATTCAATATTTATAATTTTTAATAAACTAAAAAAGGTTTTCTGTCATTACAATGATCATCTATAAACACCGAAAATGAAGAGCACATCTAACTTTGAGTGCACTCCTAAAATCATTTTTAAATTGTAAGCCCATATCACTTTTAATTCTTTGTTTAGACTGCGTTCATCTCTGGAGAAAGAAGTAGAACGCCTGGAGTCTGCTGTGGCTTTATGGAAACGGAAGTACGAAGAGCTGAAGGAGTCAGTGCTCAAAAATAGGAAGGAGGTAAGAAGACTGAGGACCTGGGGCAGCGGATGAGACGGAGGGTTCCCTTGGGTCCATGGGCAGCCTTGGGGCAGGAGACTCCGCAGGGGAGAGGGAAGGAAGTTAAAAGTGGGATTTCTCTACAAGAGGAAGACGGAACTCATGTATCAGTAGGGCGTCCGTCAAGCTCAGGCCGTAAGAAATCTAATTCTGAATAACGCATTTTAAATGGTCAACCACAGGACATAGTCAGCTACTCATGTCAGACACGTGCCAGGGGACTGCTGAAGGTGTCATTGTATCGCAACATCTCTATTAAATAATTTAATCTCCATCTTTTATAAAGCAGTCTGAAAATACTGATCTATCGCAAGAGTTTTTTAGGTCCTTTTCATTTTGGCATTATCGTTATTCAAGATCAGCCACTCACCTTTATATTTTTCCTTTGCATTTTCAGCAGTAAAACTGTCATGAATCCTCGGCATTTCAATAATTGTCAATATTCATTATTAAACAGTATTAATAGTACATATTCTATACACTGAAGCATTGTGCTAGGTAACTGTGGGATAGAACAATGAGCCAAGCAAAGAAAAATACTGACCAAAAACCGTGACAAGCTAAATGTTCTTAAATGGCTCCACATCCGTGGATGGGTGTTCATATGCCTGTTTATGTAGATACACACACACACACACACACACACACACACACAAACCACAAGTAAGCCCACAGCTGTCTAAAACACAGCTAGGTCAGTCAGGCCATTGTGTCTTATTCTAGAGCACTCTCCATCAGTCCTTGAATAAGCAGCATTCCCCTTGGTTTATGAAATCTCCCATGAACGTAGCTTCAGGTCTGTTTCCAGCAAGTGATCAAGTTTGGAGTCATTAACCTAAGTTCGGTGAGTTAATTCACTGGATGGAAAGTTCAGGAACCTTAGTTGCCTTACTCCTGGACCAGACGAGGGCACCCCGACAGCCAGGGCGGTAATGACCGTGCACCGACCAGGTCAGAAATCCTCTGACCTGTGACCCCTGAGGGCCCCTGAGACTTGGAGGAAAGGAGACCTTTTCCTGATACTCTCAACACCCGTCTCCTGCACGACAATATTTCATAGCGAAAGTAACTGCAGTGAGAACCTCAGAAAGTTCGTTTGAGAACATTGCTCCATGAAGAGTAAATTAAACAAATTAAAAGTAACAAGCTGGGTTCAGCTGATTTGCCCTGAATGGATTTAGACTGGGTTGTCAGACTGGCTTTGTTTCCAGCCGAAAGCTCGGAGGCACACGCATGCGCATTTAGTGCGGACTCAGTATTTATAGTCACAGGCAGGTAACTAACTGAACAGGGCGTTTCGGGTGTGTGCACGCTGGTGGTAAAAGTTAGTTTTCTACAGGAAAAAGCGTACACGTAAAAACCATGATATTCTCTGAGTGCTCTCCTGTGTGTATTTGCCTGGCACTATAGTGGGCTCTAAATTTCACTGAGAAAGCTCGAATCAGAGAAATTTAATTTTTAAAAATGAACTTTAATTTAAAAAGAAACATGCATTTACTGAGTATTGCCACCAGTAGGCAGTGTAGACTTGATAATGTTAGTCTCCTAACGGCTGCTTTTTATACAAATAATTTAACATTTATATAGCAACTGTTTTTGAAAAACAATCCCATTTCTGAGTTGGCTTACAAAGTGATATGTATATTTTTAAATGTATAATTTTTTCTGTTCAAAGATGTTATTTTGGACATCAGATGGGGATATGCATATTTTGAATTGCTTAACGAAACTTTATAGATGACAAAAAACCAATGTAGTATTTTACAGAATAATTTGGGTTTATATACTGATGCCCAAACAGAATTATATATATTAATATGTAGACTCAATATTTCTATGGGTCTGTGGAAATTTCGTTCAGCTATTTAAACTTTTGAGAGTCAATTTGTTTTAGCTAGATGGACTTTGAATTTGAGCAGTAAATGAAAGTGACAATGAGTGAGAATATTTTTGTTATAGATGGTGGACAGTTAATTTAAACCAAGGTAAAGAAAAAGGTTGTTTGAATTATTTATATGGGTATTATTTTAAATCATCCTTTTTCACTTCCTGAAAAAGGAGTTTGTGATATTCTTAGGACCCTGTTTAAAGAGGTGTGTTATGCACATCTATTTAAATTGTCTTCGTAAAATATTATAAAATTAGAAACTATTTAAAAACTGAATAAACAAAAATATTTAGTCACATGTAATTGTGTGTATATACTTTGTTTAATTGTTTCATAATGGATGATAACAGAATGAGATTTTTATGGGGCACTAGAAATGCCATTTTAGAGTAATTAAAAGTGTAAAATATTCAAAGTTTCTGTGCAGTTGACTTACAATCAATAATCAGACTTCATATGAGTTCTTTTTACTTCATTTCTCAGAAAATCTGAAAATGACTTCTGCTTTCACGGTAGCTCTTCAACTACTGTACAGAAAATTCTGAATACGGTATAATTCTTTTAGGAAGCTCAAACTGTTATGAGCAAAAACATGCCTGGCTCGGAACTGCTGATGGAAAAACTAGTAATTTTTAGAGCTGGAAACAGATGCGCTCAATAGACCAAGATTTTTCGAAATGTATTTGAGAGTCTGGTGTGCTTTAGAGGGGAATAATTCTTAAATCACTGATATCCCGTGCTGAATTTAATAGTTGGGTTGTTTTTCCTTTGCAAGCCTGCAAATATTGGTTTGGGGTTAGGTGATAAATTCCCAGTGTGCTGCAGTGATCATCTTAGTGAGATCCCGTGATCTAGGAAACCACGTGTTCGTGTAAGTGATGTTTACAAATAATCCCTACACCTCACTTTAACCATGAAGGGCCCTGTTTCTTTCCACAATGAAAGGCATGCCCTTTCCCGTATGTGGGGAAGAATCCTGCCGACATTTAAAAAGTGCGGTCAAGCTGAAAAGTGAAATGCGATTTTTTAATCTTCTTTGAAACATTTGTGCTTTTACCTAGAATCTTTTACAGCATTTTATTAAGAAATCTTATTTTTGTGACAACGACAAGGTTTCCAGTAGTTTACAGTGCACAGTGTTCTGTTACAAATTTTTATATTAAGTACTTCAGAGACGTGGGTTTCTTGGGACCTCATCCTGTACTACTGACAGCTGACACTGAGGCCTCATCTTAACAACACCTAAAGCAACTTTCTGAGCTGGGACATAGGAGGAGGTCAGACTTCTGAGCAACATTAGCTAAAGTTCTGCACAAACACCTTCAGTCTGAAAAAGATGAGGTCCTACGGGAGCTATTCTGCATTGTCAAGAGACTGTTGTTGAAGATACCCAAAGTCTCCTTCCTCCTCCTCTTCCTCCTTTTCACTATGGAGGGGTGGGGTGTAGAGTCACTTCTCAGGGATCCCTCCCCCGGACCCCTTCACCTTGACCAGCAAACCAACCACCTACCTACCTCGAAGGCCCCAGGGAGGCCCTGGGGTCCAATTCCAGCAGAGCACATTCTGCCTCTCAGTGCCCCCGCCCCCACCCAGCCCCCCAACTCCATGCTGCTCTCCCTGTGCACACAAATCTCCAGCTGCACTGGCCGTCGTTCATTTCATCAACTCAGCCAACCTTTCCTGGCTCCATCCCAATCCGCCAGCCACAGAAACAGACAGAGCCCCCGTGTGGCACCATTCCCCCAGGTGACCAGCCGGCTACCTGGGGGCAGGGGCATTACAATGACCGCTTCCATCGTGGAAGAGGCAGCATGCTGGGAAAGACAGTCGCTGTAAACGTGGGTTTGCCTTCCCTTCCTTCTCACGGCCGCCAGGCAGGGCGCTTCATCCACCATTACGGTGGTGCTCCCCACAGCATTGCTTCTGTGGGGCCCTCACTTCTCAGCCAGAGAAACATTCAACCGGCCTTGTTCATGGAACTCACTGATTTCTCCTGTCCCCAGTGTTCTAAGCCACTGACTGGATAGAAGGGAAAAGGCCTTTTAAAGACCAGTAGCAGCACCAGCTCGGTGGGGCTGCCTTGCAGAGATCGGGCAACTTTCTCCAGAGGGTGTATAAATGCGAGAGTCAGCCTCTGATTATAATGATGCCCTTCCATAGTCAGGGCTCACAGGTAAATAATCTTGTAATGCAGTTGTACTGAATTAGCAGAATCCATCAGATTTACCTGAAAAAAAATTTAAACATACGGATGTCCAGCTCTCCTTTTGATTTTGATTTAATTGATTAGGAGTGCTTCTTCTAGAACTGTGTTTTCAGAGGCTCATTACTCTGAGGTGCTTTGTAAATTGAGATCTGCTTTTCCAAAGCATCGGATCATAGAGCCTGGGGTGGGGGGAGGGTCCTTGGTGAGCCCCTGTGCCTTGTGGTCATCTGTTTTATGTGTCCACATGAGAGGGCCACACACCAAGTGCCCAGATACTCTGTCAAACACTGTTCTGTGCTTGTTTGTGAGGGTGTTTTCGGATGAGATGACTATTCAAATCCGTAGACCGAGTTAAGCAGATAGCCCTTTCTAGTGGGGGTGGGTCTCATCTTACCCACTGAAGGCCAGAATAGACCAAAAAGCCTGACCCCTGCTGAAGTAAGAGGGGGTTCCTCCAGCCTCACTGTCTTCTAGCTGGGACACCGTATCTTACCTGCCTTTGGACTTCAACTGGAATAAGTCAGCTCTCCCTAGGCCTGGAGCCCGTTGTGCTCAGATTAGAACTATCCCAGCAGCTTCTCTGGTTCTCAGGCCGTTTAACTTGGATTAGCATTTACATTGCTGGTTCTCCCGGGTTTCCAGTCCCTGGGCTACAGACCTTGGGAATGGTCAGCCTCCGTAATCACGGGAGTCATTCCTTACGGTGAATATCTGTCTGTCTGTCCATCCATCCAACCATCCATCTATCCAAGACTTGACCCAGATCTAGTCTCTGTAAGTCCTGACTTTTTTATGCTCAACACCTTTTCTTCTTTTGTCCGTGTGTTATTGGCACTGAAATAGCCATGTGCACTCCTAGTTAGTAAC